TATGGTGCTACGAGGTCGTAATGTGTTGTAGTTAATGGCGAAAGGAAATGGAACGAACCCCGTGATGGGTCATTCTCACGTAAATAAATTAATTAGCATGATTGCACAGCGGAACGAAGAAATTTCTGATGGCAATGTAACTTCGAAGCCTCGCAACTCGAACAGGTAATTGCAATGTTAATCGACGGGAATCGAGGAACCGCTGTAGCTTTCTGACAGGAAAGCAAAGTATTCGATATACTCGCTAACAATAACTGACGTTTCGCAAGAAATTTGATTGTACGTTCAATATTCGATATTTCGTAATTTACTCGGCGATAATTTATGAAACGTTCTTCGTACAGGCTGTTATGATTTTCAGTTAGGAGTAAATTGTTACTTTCAAACAGGGAAATAATTTTTTTATTGTAAAAAATGCACGAACTCGAAATGTTTAAACGGGTTTACGCGTTTCCTTTTGGTATCGATTTTTAAAACAAATTATATTTTTCAAGTGTAAGGTAAATAAACATTGATCTCGAAAAAGTACGTAGTTTCATTGGAAAACAAAGCAAAATCATGTCGGTACTTTGGTAACGAATAAAACTGTTTCTGAAATTGTTGAAGTAACATTATGCATCTCGTTGAAGAACTTTTCTCGACAAACTAGGAAAAGCGCTCGAAAAATTACGACAAACATTCTGGTATACTATCGACAAGATCGAAGAACAGTTTTTCGCCTATTTCGGTATTCAAATTTCATTCTCTGGCCAAGAGCTTTAATCGAGATCTAATAAATACGTTTCTAGTTTATCTAATTAAATTTAATATACTCGAAAATAATTTATCGCGATCAGATTTGATTTTTGAAAGTTTACTGACGTCACAAATTCCAATCTCTAAGAAATCACTAATGTTCAACGATTTTCTTTAGTAAAAAAATTACAATTCGCATAAACGGCAATATTTAATAAATAATTTAAAAATCACAAAGGGGCAGTATTTAAAAATCTTCTCAAATCACAGATTCCTAAAACCTCGCGAAAAAAAGAAAATTTCTAACTTGAAAGATTCCACTTTCCACAAGACTACATTCCAAGAGCGATAAAAGACCAATTTCTAGAAATCTCCTGAAATTCCAATGTCTGCAAGTTTCTAAAAGACAAAATTTCTCTCGAGTGGCGAATTCCAATTTCCAAAAACCGCAAAAAGAAAGAAAAAGAGCAGCGTACGAAAAATCTTCCCAAGCCGCGAATCCCAATTTCATCGAGATCTCCGCGGACGAAAGCCGGTTGAAAATGTGAACCGAGAGTTGACATCTCCGGTGTCCGGTTCCCCTATAATTAACCATCGCGATGCCACATGTTGCTTCAGAATTCAAGCTTTGTCCGCGCGCGAGTCCCTCGAGGCCAGTAGGAGGTTATCCGGCGTGTTCTCATGGACTTTGCTGCGCGACGGTCAAGACGTTATCTCGCCAACGGTGAAACTTTTAATGGAACATTGAATTTGTGCTGCGAAAGGTTGCACGAGGCGTGTGAAACACTCTCGCGAGGTGACCATCCCCCGTTTCAAGCTTCCAGGGCTATTGTCGTTCGAAATAATCGAACTTCCTCGCTGCAAACACCTTCCATATGGTTTTCGGCAACTCCGTGCATTCGAGCTGCTCGCACTCACGAGAATTTTGATCGTTTCGAAGAGCACACAAGGTGGCTCGAGGCTCTTTGCGACGTGTTCGCGGAAAACGCGAAGAGCAAAACCTACGAGAACGAATAAAAAATTTATCGTTCGACCAAGAGACACGGAGCTTTCAGAGAGGAAATAGACTCTGACGGAGAGAGAGAGAGAGAGAGAGAGAGCAGTATATCGATACGACACAGTGAACACGGGGATAAAAGTACAGAGAGGATCTGAGGTGCAGCTGTTGGCTCAGTTCATCGTGATCGTTTCTCGGGGATACGGTTTTTACGAGGCCGGAAATCGTTCGAAGAGAACGGCAAGATGGCGGAAACATCGCTCCGGAGGAAGACCAGGTCGGCATCTATCTGTGCCCCTGGATTTTCCAGCATGGAACAAGTGTTAGAGGCGATGCCTCCCTCGGGTGCAAGAGAGAGGGATAAAATTGACAGAGAGAAGGACAGTGGTAGCGGAACTCCTGATAGCAGTACACCGACCAGAAGGCGTAGACCAGCGACGAGGTCCCAGAGTGCTCGTGTTTCCGGTGCGAATAAGAGTATTCGCCGTCGAGCTGCTGCACAAGGTAATGAGATGATAACCATGGTTGTCTCTTTAGCTAGCTGAAAGGAACAGCCTTCCTTTTTTTATTTTACATGTTTCTTTTATTTGTAATTATTAGGTGTACCTACACAAACTATTGGGTTGAACGGGAAAGTTCGTGCGGTTTTTACGCTCACGACATTTTACTGTACCGTTTTTTTTTTTGTAAAAATTGATTTATTTGATCAATCGTATGGTTTCCATTAGTCTCTAATTTGGCGATTTAAGGCAATTGTTGCTATTAAATTATCCTTATCTGCTGTTTTGTGTCGCCCACAACGTGGTGAATCTCCTATTGCAATCTTATTTCACTAATTAATTTCATTCTGGTGTTTATAACATCTTTCGCGCCAGGGTAATATCCACGAAATTTTGAAATTAACAATCATTTGATATTTGACCATTTAAATTCACAAGAAAAATCGAATATAGCTCGTAAATAGAGTAATATGTAGCACATAAAATATATTCGTACATAAAAAGTAAGCGGACATATAGGAATTATACGGCCTCGTGAAATACGGAAGTACCACCGAGCCGTTATAACTGAAATAGGATGTACAGGAAGGTTAAAACAAAAATGGGAACATCTACTAACCCGTGATGTTTCACATTCAAAAGCAATTTAAATTAGACGAACATTATCAATGTGTTCAATCACCGTTTAAATTCTAATCGGTGCAACACTCCTCGTTATCTCGATTCTCTGTTCAAATCTTGAAATTAACACACCGTTTAAATTTATCCATCTACTCGCTTAAGCACATCGTTATACATTTCTACACACGTACCAACGCGCACTTGTGAAATAAATCGATTCATTCAGTTACAGTTAGATAAACGCCTCTGCCGATGGAACTAACATCCTTTGATAAGTAATTTCTATTAAGGGGTCTTTGAACGCGTTAGAATTTTCGCGTGTTCAGTTAGCATCTTGTGTCTGTGTGTGGGGCGATATCACGTATCGATGGCACGTGAAAGAACACGCAGATAACACTGTTCACCACGGTTCAATGCTTCTCAACTCTATGCAACCATCCATTTCTAAATGAACTCTTCCAAGGGTGAAGTGACGCCACCACGACGTCATAGATGCCCCCTTGTTCGATTTAATGACGTGAAATACCGTTGTTGCGAAAGGTCTCGTGGTATAGAATATCCTGTGACTTATGGAGCTAATAGCTCTCTAATTGTAAACCCGTAATGCGCATTCCGTCACCGATCGTGTTTCACTTCCGCTTTATATATGTAAGTACTTACATTTTAGAGGCGCCATCGGAAAGGGGATTAAGATGTGGTTACAAAGACGATTTGTGGTTAATTAGTGGAGATTTGAGTCGGTATTACGTGGAAATTAAACGAACATGTTTCTAATGAAACTTTAATTTTACGCAAGGAATTTTTCATTTTTTGTGTTAAATTATCGTTTAAATTATGAGGATTTATGGAAAGTTTGCAGAGAATGAGTGGAAAACTCTTAGTCGTGATTTATCTATCTTATAAATTACCGTGGATTAGGTGTGTATTCATACAAAGCGATAAAATATTTTTATTTAAATTCTCTGTCTAATTAGAGAAAATTATTTTGACTCCGATTGCAATTTTATTCGTTTAAACTCATACTGTAAAAATTACACTGTTTAATCCTGTGAAGATTACGGAGGTACAATTACGGTTTGAATTTTCCTCCGAAGTAGCCATTAATTTACCTGTAATCTTGCTAACTTCGACACATTACCATTATCACCTGTAATCTAATTTAAAGGATTGCGGTGAACTAGTGAAACGGTTTAACCAAGGGTGGGCATAGTGCACTCGTTGCAAATCAGCTCAGAAAATAAAACACAATAATAAAATAACTAACTACTTAACATGCAATTCATGCAATTCCTTGGATACCCGTGAAGAATTAGTTCAGAAAGTAAAAATTCATAAAATTTTCAGTAGCACAGAAAATATTTGAAGAACTGGAAAAATAAAGATAAATTAGCAAAACTGACAGAAAATAAATTTCGACAGCTGAAACGTCTCAGATTCCTACTCGACAAGTATGAAGAACAACGATGACTAAAATTCAAATGTTTATTTGTCAATTTGTCAAATGTTTATCAAAGTCCGATAATAATTTTCATTTAAGTACCGATAATTCGCGAAATTGTTTTATCTTATTTAAAAGAATAAAGTTTAAAGTGTAATATTTAAAGCCCGGTACTAATCTTCTGATAAATATTTACAATTGGAAGTTTTAATTTGATTGTATTTAAAACGAAAAAGATTTGAAGTGAAATATTCAAATAATTTTCAATAAGTGTGAATAATAGTCTATTGTGTCTAAAGTTTCAGAAGGTAGAGTGTGTGTATACGGTGGACATAGGCTAGCTAAGTAACCCTCGACCATCCTATTCACAACTCAGAATCAAAATATATAAAATGCCGCGAAGTCTCTAGGGCCCAGTATAAAGGGTGAATGATTTTCTCGGAACCTCGGCGGGCTCTTATATACCTGCGGTACCCCCACCCCAAAGTCATTAGCAAACTCATTAGCGAAGTCGTCAGTAAGTTCAGGCGGGAAATTTTTCGCGGGAGATTTCTGTTATCATAATACGGTATAAATGATTAATTTTCACAATTTTGTTATAAATTTATACTTTCGACAATTTATTCCAACGCTACATATAATAATTAACACGTTTCTTCAATTTTCTTCCGTAGAAAACTACGTTTTAACGTTCTCACTACTTACTCGTGGTTAAATTAATTTCGTAAGGATTAAAAATTAGGCTGACCGGTGGTCATCGATTGAAAATAACCATAGTGAAGGAAAGATTTATTATGTTAAATAATGTTTTACGTATATTAGAAGTTTATTTAAGATTTATTGGCTGTAATACCGTGAAATAATTTATATAGTAAATTTTCTCTGGTTATACTAAATTTAATGTTTCTAACCGTTAGAAATCAGGGTCACCTGTGATTATTAACTGAAAATAAATATAGGAAAGGTAAAATTTGTACTGTTAATTCTGAGATATTAATCGTGGGATTTATTTCAAATTTTCTGTAAGGTAGAATGGGTGTTACTTGTTATTTTTCGATTTTTCTTCAAGATTTTTCCTGAAAGCATAACTTTACAATTCACTTTCGTGCGGAAATAACGGTTTCTGTTCTCTTAGAAGCCGGGATACAAATTTTTGCTAATAAACATTCCAAAATGACCATAACACGTGGGCATAGTTCGAAAAGGAAGGGAAACCGTTGATATTATAAAACAGGTTTTAAGAAATACTCGTTTTCCTTAGAATTTTCATTTGTAAACAGGGACTTTTACAATTCTCTTCGCGATTCCCACAATTGCAACTTTTTCCAAATTTTGGTACACGTCGTCTAGTATACCAATCCTTCTAGCTTCTAAAAAAGCACGAACTCAAGTCGTTTGGTCCAATTTAAAAAAAGTTACACCGTTCTAAATAATGTTCGAATCTTTTCGCGATCGACTGTATACGGAGAAAGATAATCTGTGTCAAAGAACAAATTGAATTTCACCGATGATCAATAGTAATCTAATATTTCATGAGAAAATCAATAATATTGTGTTCACGATGTATTGTGTAGATTCAATTTCAATATTGACTATTCAATATTCAATATTGATAATGGATTAAGCTCAAAGGGTTAAGCAACGTAGAACTTTTTCTACGAAAACGTACATCTTGCACGGAAATTATTCGTTGCTTCTTAAAATTATTCACTTGGTTACTTCAAATTCCGTCAATTTCACCTGAAACGAAGCGGAATAAAAAAGCACCACTTCTCTCAGCTGTAGAGGCAGAGTTTGAAAGCATGGCATTTGCAATTGCCCTTTTGAATCCTGCCAAATCGCTTCTTTTAATCGTCCACAAAACAGTTCCCCTCGTTCCTGGCCGTTTACCTAGCGCTCGCCAGAGGAAACGGGACGTCGCGCGTCTTTAAATAAGCTTCATTTAGCCCACGAAACCCTTCGCGGGATCGTATTTTTGAGTTAAATGGATCGGACGGTTCCTCGAGTAAGGTGCACTGGCACCGTGGAGGCCCGTTTAGTCTGTCAGTGACCTACTACCCAAACGAACGCTGCCAGAATAGAAGCTGAAGCGTGATTCCGACGCGTGAAGCGTCGTCGATGCAATATGTAACCGCGTCTCTTACGCACCGCTTTCACGACGCGATCTGTCGTTCCACTCCGATCTACATTCGCCTGTGAAAGTGAATTTTCTACCAATGAGATATTATTAACGCCTCGAATACCTAACGCGTTCGAAATGGCTCATTTCTCATGTGAAAGAATTATTCGGGAAATTATGAAAATTGAGAATTTTCGTTAGAAAATTAAAGGAAGAAAAATCATCGCGAATTGCAAAATTGTGAAAATGGGAAATTACTATGAGATTTGCTGTGAATTAAAAAATTATGAAAATTACAGAAAGTAAAAGAATTACAAATTACAGAATTAAGAAAATGAAAAATGGGAAATTGCGGAAAACGGTAAAATTGAAATTTGCTGTGAATTAAAAAATTATGAAAATTACAGAAAATCAAAAGAACGACAAATTACAGAATTTAAAAATATTGCAAATTATAAAAATGAAAGAACATGAGACGAATAAATTTCAAGTGACATAGGTTGGTTTGCAAAGGTAACTCCATCGGTAGTTTTATTGTTAACAACGGTTGTTCGTAACTCAATGAAAGGTTTCCATTTTCATTTCCTTGTTGTTTCTCTTTCTCGCGAAGATAAGCCGCTCCGTGAAAAGGTGTGGTCTCCTTTTCCAGCTTATTCCGTGCGGGATTCTCAATGAAACACGTTGGGCGTGAAATAAAGAAGCAGGGTTGTTCGCGTACGGGGAGGATTCTCCTTTAGGGTTGACATATTTTTCAGCTGACGCACTGATGTCGAGTCGTTTAGACCCAGAGGTTTTCCCCAGACTTTATACGTTCTGATCTTTCGCGGAAGATAATTTGGAAGAATTGCAAGGTTTCCTTCACTGCGAAGGATAGTAGTTATATCTTACGAAACTTGTTATTTTACTATAGTGAACTTGGCAAAGAGAATACGATTTCATAAAAGGAACAGTAAGAGATCTTTCGTTTTTTGGTACAAGCAACGTAGTATTTTTCTCTTGAAAAATTCGCAATTTTTACACAGAATTTTCAAAATATTTTCCTTCTTTCCTTATACTTTACTTTATTTATCAAAATTCTTCGACGCATCTTGTTAACACCTTCTGTGTCATCGATGGTGCACGATAATTTTCAAAAGTGAAAAACGACATAAATCTCGAACAAAATACGTGCAAAGGATTAAAGTGTCGAGATAATATTTTTTTCTGTGGCAGGAA